TCACTATCAATGCATCTTGATTGCATGTTCAATCGACTTCCGACTGTAAAAGTTGGTAGAAATCTTCTATTTCCTCTTCTTTGGCTCTGGTTTTTGGCTCATATATCTGAATGTTAGTGGTATTCACTGGACTTCTTTTTATGCGTATGGATATTATCCTGTCACTCACAATATTGTTCTTCAAGATGGATCTAGAAATTACTTTCTTAACTATGAAAGCAACTCCATTTTTCCTCACCGTTTCATCTCCAGAGCAATATATCATATGGTCATCAGACTCAAAATGCCCCATGCCAGTCCATCTCATCTCACCAGTGCTTAGTATGTCAATATTTATGTGTTCCATTTCTTCCTTAACAATATCTAATTTTTCTACATTCATGGTTCTCACATTCCATGTCCCAATCAGTAGTGTCTGCTTACAACTGTTTCTCTTCCTTTGTATTTCTATACTTGAAAGCTCAACCTCAGTTGCCCTTTCTGTTATTCTACATGTGTTCTGTTGTACATAGGGTTTTTGGAGGCCTGCTATTTCAGAAGTGGATGGCCAATCATTCTTCCTAATCTGTCTTAATCTGAATGTTCAGATTTAGAGAAGTATCAGAGAGACCAGCATTTTACAGAAAAAGGGAAAGATATATCCCTTATTGTGGAGTTAACCATTAGTATCAGTGCTGTCCTTGCATTTGGCACACGTGTCTTTACCCACTTATTTCCCTGCTCCACCATCCACCAGGGTACCCATCCACTTCTACCCACTCCCTTCAACATCTATCTCCCATTGTCCAGCCCTTGATCTGGTAGCTTATATCTGAAGCTTCCTTCCTTCTGTGATTCCAAACACAACAGCTGCTGAGAGTTTCTTATGCTGTGACCAGTGTCTCTTAAGTTTAGTGGTAATGTTTCCCTAGTAAAGGTGAAATTGGGAAGGGGGTACACCAGGGATGTGTCCTGTATTCATACCTTTTCAGCCTGTGTGCAGGTTATCTGGGAGGCTGGGCTCTATGAGGAGAAATGGATTGATGGAAGATCTATCAACAATCTGCGTTATGCAGATTACACAACCCTGCTTGCTGAAACTGAGGAGGACCTGAAGTGCTTGCTGCACAGGGTCAAGGACTGCAGCCTCCAATATGGATTTAGGCTCAATGTCAAGAAGACAAAGATTCTCACCACTGGACCAATTGGCAGCATCAGGATGGATGGTGAA